TACACATATGACATAAACTTATATAGATACAGACGTACATGTAAATGAAAATAAAACAAATCTTCAAACAAATAAACAACATATACCCCCAGGTACTTTTGATGTAGAACATTGTCTTACAGGATAAATGTCTAACTCAGTGGTTCTTATCCTGTGGGTTACAATTCCCGTCTGGGTTGCATATCAGATATCCTGCATATCAGATATTTAATGATAGTAAAATTACAGGTATGAAGTAGCAAAGAAATAATTATGTGGTGGGGTCACCATAACATGAGGAACTATATTGAAGGGTCACCGCGTTAGGAAGGCTGGGTACCACTGGTCTAACTCTTTCAATGCTATGTAGTTCCGCACTTCCCTTGTCTCCAGCCTCCTTTTCTTCCATGAGTTTATACTTCACCTCAAGAACACTAAGCCACTTAGAATTCCCAGCATCCTTACTTTCTGATACCGTTCTACTCTTACACATAGTGATTATTCTGCCTAAAATACTCTCATCCGTCTCTCCCTTGTACATTGTCCTGTCTCACTGAAGTATGTATCATCCTCTCCTCGTTCCTTCTCAAACTGAGTGAAACTATACTCAACATATGTAGCCTTGTAGATAGCACTCACCACAGTGTTTTACTTTGTTGGTTTCTTTGTTCCTCCTCCCACTAGGTATATATACTTGAGATTAAACTTCCTTGTGTTCATCTGTTTCTCCGGTATCTGGCACATAGAAAGTATACCATAAATATTAAATGAAGTAGAAGCTTCTCATGCAATTTTGGCTCATTGAACATATTAGACCCAAGAGAATACTCTATGAGTAACCCTATTCTACTGTTTTCTGAGGTTCGGGTTTTTGTTTTGTTTTTTGTTGTTTGTTTTATTTGGTCAACTGTTTTTCTATTGAAATATTTTTTCTTTTGTTGCATCTTCACTAGCTCAGTATTCCACTACATGACTGCTGATGCCATCTATGATGTCATGGTGGCAGCAGCAGTATACATTCCAGCTCACAGATTGTGTATGCAGAACACGGGGTCTTAATAGTTCCAGAAAGTTTTCTAGATAAACAACTGGTTTCAGTCAGTGCTGCCAGTCTCATCAAAAGTGATACTTCCACTGTGCTTAATATTTTTCTGCTGCTTTCTGTCTCCATGGCTCCTTGAGGGCTTTGATAATTCGTGTAGGAGGTACAGCTTGGTCTGTCAGTTCTGAATGGTCAGTTTCATTACAGTCCTTAGACCTTTCTAATCACTGGTTGCCTCAGCATTGTCATCATCAACTTTTCTGGAGACAGACCCATTAGACTGAACTTGGGGGCCAACACAGGTGTACCTCAGGTACAGGACTTTGATCTCTTGAGGGTCAAACTTCAGAGGCTAGTGTCAGATGAACTTAGAGCTCTACTGAGCTATATAGCCTCCTAAGACAAAACCCAAAAGCTTTAAGAGATTTTTAATGTGGTTTTAAATATAGAATACATCATTTTGTAAAAAGCATTTTTTTAAATTAAAGGGACAAAAAAACTTATGAGTAAGGCATCATGACTGTGTATCATGAGTTTTTCTCATGACTTAATAAGTTATGACTTGTGTAAATGTGTTTCTTCCTAGATCTTCAATTTCCTTATGTATAATTATCTCCACCTAGTATTTGGAATGCCTTCCCAGTGGTCTTTCCCTTCTTGACACAGTCACTCTGTTCTCTGAATATAAACCAGTATGTACCTTTCTCCCTTTGTACCATGTTAAGAATACAGTTGCCTTCAGTGGCTCTGTGAATGGGGGGAATAGCATGCATCTCCTTTCCCATGGCCTATAAGACAGGAGCTTGCCTCAGTTCTTCTCTTGTCCAGTTTTCTCTGCCTCTCATCTGTCCCTCCCCTCTCTCATCTTGCTCACTCTCTCCCCACTTCCTTATAGTATACTCTACCTAGAATATTCTTATCCAGAGTCTTAGGCCCTAAGAAGCCTACCCTTCTGGATAATCACAATTCTCTCCACTCTGAAAGAAGAAATTGAATAATAAATCAGACTCCTAAACAAAGGTTAATAGGGGAAATGGGCATGAATAATTAGTTTTATGGAAAATTTAACAAGAATAATATTGCTTCATACTAAGCTATTAATGGATAGTTACATTGTGTGCAGTTGAGTTTGCTATATATACTATAATTTCTGACCCTTAATAATTGAGCATAATTATTTTCTGCCTAACATATAACAATGGTAGATTACTAGAGGTTTTTTTCCCCCTAAATGGGACTAGCAAGATGATTCATCAGGTAAGGGTGCTTGCCACTAAGCTGGACAAACTGAGTTTTACCCCTGGGACATCCATGTTGAAGAGAACCAATTTCCACAAGTTGTCCTCCTGATTGTACATCCCTAATGCCTGTAGATTAAGGTTCCACTAGGAAATGGGTTTTAGCTAACCTTGTAGCAGTGTTCCTTTCTTATCATAGTGCTGTCATATGAGAGCTACTCAATAAATGTTATTGAAAGAAAATGTATTTTAAAAGGTATATTCTTCTCAAACTTACCTATATACATGGTAGCCAGTAAAAGCAACTCTAGAATATTCAGTTCAAAAACCACTAATATAGCAAATAGTTATATGAATTTTCACACTGTTATTTACTATTATTAAGCTTGGGAAAAGTTAATTTTTCTCAGCACAATTTTCTTCATTTGCAGTTGAATAAAGTCTTAAATAGTTGGTGTAACTATTTGTTATGCTAACTAAGTTAAGCTAATGCTGGGAGCATAGTTCACTTGATATAGTGCTTGCCTAGCATGCAAGAAGTTCTTGGTTCCATGCCCAGCACCCCATACATTGTAATGTGCACACCCGTAAATACCAGCACTCAGGAAGTGGAAGCAAGGGGATCAGAAGTTTACAGTCATCCTTGGCTACTTAGAATTTGAGAAGTATGAAGCCAGCCTCGACTGTATGAGACCCTGTCTCATTAAAAAGTATGTAAGATTAAATTGAAAGTTCTGTTTCACTTTTTTTTTTTTAAACAACTTATGTGTATGTATCTGAACATACGCTTGTGGACTGTGTATAATATGCAATGCGTGTGGAAGCCAGAAGAGGGCACCAGATCCCTTAGAACGGCAGTTACAAGCTTAGATATGGAACCTGGGTCTTAACTCCTGGGCCACCTGTCCAGATTCAAATGAAAGAGTTCTTTATGAAGCACCAACCTGTCCTAAATGACTAATACTCAGTGTTTATGTTGGCCCTTTATTATTTGTATATTAATACTTATTTTATGGGCTTTGTTCTTAAATAAAGCTCTTAGGGACCTTTTAAAAAGTGGATGGTGGTGGTGGTGTGTGTGTTTAAATATTCATTTATGCCGGGCGGTGGTGGCGCACGCCTTTAATCCCAGCACTTGGGAGGCAGAGGCAGGCGGATTTCTGAGTTCGAGAGTTCGAGGCTAGCCTGGTCTGCAGAGTGAGTTCCAGGACTGCCGGGGCTACATAGAGAAACCCTGTCTCGAAAAAACCAATCCAAATAAATAAATAAATAAATAAATAAATAAATATTCTTTTATTAAACAGATACTTATGACATGACTGTGACCCAAGTGCCAGCCACTCAAAGTGTATAGATACAGAAGTTAAGAATCTTTCCTTCGGGTGAAGAATAGAAACAATAAGTGTGACTATTAAAAGAAGCTAGGTGTGATGCTACACACCTTTAGTCCCAGCACTTGGGAAGCAGAGGTAGGCAGATCTCTGAGTTCAAGGTCAGCCTGGTCTACATGGAGTTCTAGAAAAGCTAGGACTAAGAAACTATCTCTCTTCCGCCCCAACCCTCCCCACCCCCCAAAAAAAACTAATATAAAGGAAACTAAAATGATACAAGGGCTAGAATGTAACAAGAGTGAAGTCCTATTTTGATGGGATGCTTATTTAGGCAGAACCCTAAATGAAGCAAGGGCACACACATCTGGAGGAAGGAGTTCCAGGTCGGAGAGCTGACATTGAAAAGGCTAGAAGTTGGAGCATGTCTGTATGTTCCAATAAGCAAGACAGGGTGTCTAAAAAGCTGGAGGACTGAGGAAGCAAGAAATGGTGAGGGGAGCCAGGTGTCGCGTGTCTTTAATCCCAGCACTTGGGAGGCAGAGGCAAGCAGATCTCTGAGAGTTCGAGGCCAGCCTGGTCTACAGAGCGAGTTCCAGGACAGCCAATGCTACACAAAGAAATGCTGTCTCAAAAGCCAAAATAAAGAGAGAAAGAAACGGTGAGGAGAGGTCTCTGAAGGCTAGGAATTTGCAGAGCTTTACCTGCCAATGACTTGGGTTTTATTGTATCTTCAGTAACTCTGCATGTTCTGCATGCTGGTACATGATATGAGGTACAGAGTGTTCTCTGTTTCAGAACATAGTTGTCCTTGTGTAATGGATCAGGAAATTTAAGTGAAATTTTAACATAGCCGACAAAATAGCCTAATATATGGAATTCTATTTGAAGTCTTTGAAAGTATATTTGGAGTATTAGAGTCTGTCAGCAGAGAGATGGATACTACAGCTACACTCTGATAATTGAAAGGAGTACTCTGTATATTTTTGAAATTGTTGTTTGTGAATTTAGTCATAATAGTTTGATAGTCTCCCTTTCTGAGGGAACTAACTTCCCAGCCTCCCCTGTTCCTTAAAGAATGGAAGCTTCCTTCCTCATTTCTGCTTGTCAACATTGTCTTCATTGTTAATCATTTCTGTTTTTTTTTTGTTTTTGTTTTGTCTTTTGTTTTTTGGGGTTTTTGTTTGTTTGTTTGTTTGTTTTTTTCGAGACAGGGTTTCTCTGTATAGCCCTGGCTGTCCTGTCCTGGAACTCACTCTGTAGACCAGGCTAGCCTCGAATTCTGTTTTCTTATGCATGATTTAATTTTGAAGATTTGATTTCAGAGAGTGACATCATACAACAGACCTTGTTCTGGGTACTTTTTAAGTTAGATCTGCAACTTCTCATTCAACATAAATATCTGTATTTCAGATGGAGCAACTGTCCGATGAAGAGATTGACCATGGTGCCGAAGAAGACAGTGACAAGGAAGATCAGGACCTGGATAAAATGTTTGGAGCTTGGCTTGGGGAACTGGACAGACTTACTCAGGTTAGAAGTGTTGAAAACCTGGTTGAAGATTGGAAGCCATCATGTTTAACATTTCATGTATAGACAAAAGATATGAATGCAGGCTAAGTTTTAAAATATTGCTAAAAGAAAAAAAAATTAACAGGTAGATGAATAGAAACTTTATAATGCAAGATAATATCTTTTATGGTTATTATTTGCATATGCTTATATGCATGTTCAACTATGTGTACATGTACATGCAGGTAGAGACCAAAGGACATCTATCCTCAGGGTTTCTTTCTTCGAACCACTTCTTTGAAACATAGTGTCCTTTCTCTCTCCTCTCCTCTCCTCTCCTCTCCTCTCCTCTCCTCTCCTCTCCTCTCCTCTCCTCTCCTCTCCTCTCCTCTCCTCTTCTTTTCCCCTAGCCCCTCCCCCTTTTAATGAAACAGAATTGGGAGATTTTTATTAAGGATAAGTTTAGTATAAGCTTAAGCACCAGGGCTAGAATGGGTGAAGGTGCTCAGAAGAAAGTAGGAAAATGTCAGAATGAGCTCCCTAAGGAGAAGTCTCCAGATATGATATGTCTTTCATTGGCAAAATGCTTACCAATTAGGCTAGACCCTGAGGGATCTTGCTATGCCTGCCTCCCCAGGGCTAGGATTTACAAGTGCCCACCATTTAGATTTGGGTTTGGGAGTCAACTACATGTCCTTGTTCTTGCAAGTGGTCTGCCAACTGAGCTATTGCCCCACCCAGCTCCTTTTCTGTAGTCATTCTAGGGTTTACTTTTTGTTTTTTTGGTTTGGTCTTTCGAGACAGGGTTTCTCTGTGTAGCCCTGGCTGTCCTGGAACTCACTCTGTAGACCAGGCTAGCCTCGAACTCTCAAACTCAGAAATCCCCCTGCCTCTGCCTCCCAAGTGCTGGGATTAAAGGCGTGCGCCACCACTGCCCGGCAAGCCAAGACAATTTTAAAGTGTAAAGTTTAAATATCTAAATTTTGACATATTTTGTTCTATAACCAATTTAAAACCGTTTTATGACATTTGTATTTTCTAGCTCATATTTTCAAAATACTGAAATATTTTGAATATTCATATATTCAAAATACTGAATAAAAGTTTATCCAGGCTACATTTAAAATAGTTCTAAAAAGTGTGTTTGGATTTTGGTTTTTGTTTTGCTGTTTTCTTTGTTTTATGGGGCTGTGGATTTTTTGTTGCTGATGTGGTAATGTATGGTTGCTTAATTTTTTGAGATGGAGCCTCATGTAACTCAAGGTTGGTTTTACTTGATGGAATTCAAGGATGACTTGAGCTGCTGAGCTCTATAAGCAGGAGATAGAGGGAGGAACTAGATCTAGCTGGACTTTTGAAATCTCAGAGCCTACCCCCAACCACAAACTTCCTCCTACAAGGCCATATCTGGGAACCAGACACTCAAATATATGAGCCTATGGGAGCGATTCTCATTCTAACTACTACAAGCTGTAATAAGAAAAGGTAACACTTTAACTGTCTTTTGATGTCTGTAAGTACCAAACCATTTCTATTTAATTCCCTTCTTTGCAGTTCTCAGTGATAAGCATGTTAGTGTGGACACAGGTATAGAGAGTCCAGAGGTTGACATCTGGTGGATTAGTCAGCATTCTCTTAAGGAACAGAACTGGTAGAATGAATACATATATATTAAAGGAGGTGGTTATTACAGTTTTTGCAGACTGTGATCCAGCCAGCAATGGCTGCTCCTGATGGGAAGGCCAAGAATTCAGTAATTGCTGAGTCCAGAGGTGCAGGTCTTAGCACTCCCATTCTGATGCTGAAGTCCTGGGGCATTCCTAGAGAGCTTCTGGTGATTAGTCTATGTTGGATCCTAAAGAAGTAGATTCTAATACCAGCAAAGGAATAAGTTAGCCACAGGATAGATGAACTTGCCAGTGAGAGGGTATGCAAGCAGGCAAAAAAGCAAAAGTTTCCTTCTTTCATGACCTTTTAAGTGAGATGCCACCAGAAGGAATGGGCCTTCCCATCTCAAATAATCCAGTCAAGAAAATCCTTCACAGCTGTGCACAGCTGCTTGAACTTTATTTTATTACAGATGCAGCCAACTTGATACTCAAGATTAGCCATTATATCTTGTACCTATCTCTGTTTTTATGGCATATTTATACTGTATGGAGGTAGGGGTTGCATGCTGTGGAGTATATAGAGGTCAGAGGAGAACGTGTGGAGTTGGTTCTCGCTTTCTACCATGTGGGTCTCAGGGATTGAATTTAAGGCTTGACAGCAAGGACTGTAACTGTCTTTGCTACTCCATGTATTCTTCTTTCTTCCACCATTCTTCACCCTTTTCCATCCTTTCAATCCCTATCACTAGACAGGATAGATAAAAGGGTAGAAAGGAAAGGGGGCAACATTATTGTTAGACTACTTCCTGCTGATTGGAGCGTTGAATTCCTTGGGGAAGGTTTGTTCTTCACTGGCAGGATGTCTAACTTCTTCTTCTTTCTTCTTTGAGCATGACTACTTAACAAACTGCTACCAATAGCCACCTCCCACCCTTCACCTGTTACCCACCCTACCCTCCTAGTCCCCCAGAATTTCAAATGTCACACAGTCACAGAAACTATCTGCAGCTTACAAAATCACACCTCTGCTAGGGCACAAGGCAGCTGCTGCAGAAAGTCTGAAGCAGCCCCACGTCCCCACACCTGAGATTAAAATGAATGCACATTCCTATTTCTGTGTTTTGTTGTAGAAACCAAAATTCTCACTACATTAACCATCTAAGTTATCTCTCTAGCCTTCACCCTTTATTTTTTGAAACAGTCTCTTGTTGACCCTGAGGCTCACCAATTGTCTAGACTGGCTGACCAGCAAGCCCCAGGGATCTTCATGTCTCTGCCTCCCCATTGCCAAGTTGATAGACCCACCCAGGCATACATTCCCACCTTTTTACATGGGTGCTGCAGATCTCAATTCAGGCCATCATACATGTGTTATAAGCACTTAACTGAGCCACTTCTTAATTCTTAACCTTTTTTTACAGAAAGCATTGTTGTCATAAAGATGATGACGGAGTGTCCAGTAATATGCCGGTGTGCTGGTTTGAATAAGAAGTGTTCCTTATAAAATTAGGTGTTTAAATACTTGGTCCTAAGTCAGTAGCTCTGTTGGAGAGGTTATTGGAGGTGGTGTGGCCTTTCTGGAGGAAGTATGACAGAGGGACATATTTGAGAGTTTCAAACTTCACACCTCTTCTAGTTTGCTCCCTCTGCTTCACCTACCAACTCACCCTGTCAGGCTTCTCTGCCATGATGGATGATGATTATCCCTCTGGAACCCTAAACCCAAATAAACTCTTTGTTCTATATATTGTCTCTGTCAGAATGAAAGTAATTAATACAGCTGTGAAGAGAAGAAACAAATAATAGTGTTTAAAAGAAATTATCCAAGGGCCAGCTACTATGCTGTGTCTGTGACCAAGTGGTTGTATACTTGAGTAGGAGGCCAAAAAGAGAAAGCAAGTAGGAATGAGTCAAGCGGCCTTGGCTGAGGAAGGAACTCCACTCAGATGGTGGTTCTCCACATTTAGTACTATATTCTCATATATATTTCCAGTTGCCTAACTTTTATCATAGAAATATGTCATTTCAGAGAAACATTAAAACCAGTGCATATTATGACTTACTATAAACATGTTAGCCAGGCGGTGGTGGCGCACGCCTCTAATCCCAGCACTTGGGAGGCAGAGGCAGGCGGATTTCTGAGTTCGAGGCCGGCCTGGTCTACAGAGTGAGTTCCAGGACAGCCAGAACTATACAGAGAAACCCTGTCTCGAAAAAACAAAAACAAACAAACAAAAAAAACATGTTAGTTTTATGGATATTTTAAGAAATAATTGACTTACTAAGATTCAGATTTATTTCAGTATTTTAGTTCACTACCTGTGCAATATTCAATGTTACAGGTTAATCAAACAAGTTTTAAATAGTTAATGATTTGCAAAAAATTTGTATGTTGGGCATTTTCTTGGAAGAAGATCTGTAGGTTTTCTTGCAAATTCTTAGCAACCTTCTCAAAGGTTAAAAATCACCATATTATATTACTAATTTCTTGACCTAAAGGGTGTTTCTCAGTATCTCCTTTGATGTCTCAGCACCATGGACAGGTAATTAAAAATGCAAGTTCATTTATTTGAACTGGAAAGAAGTTGACTTTTCATAAGTCTTCAATTTTAGTCATATTATTTTATAGAAATTTAATGAAAAATATTTTCCCTCCAGTTTTATTGAAAGAATTAATTAAAATTATTTCTTAAGAATTAGGTTTAAGGTTAAAGAAGAATTTCATAGCTGTTTTTTGAAATTTTGAAGAAAAAAAAACACTGAGTAGGTTCTGGGTCACATTCATTTGAGAGCTTCAAAAACAGGATATAGGACTGAAGAAATAGCTTAGTGGTTAAGAACACTGGCTGTTCTTGCAGAGGGCAGACGTTTGGTTCTCAGCACTCAAGTAGCAGCTCATAACTGTATCTCCAGTTTTAGGGGATTCAGTTACCTCTTCTAGCCTCTATGGGAACTACATGCACACATGGTACATGTCTTAGTTAGGTTTGACTGCTGTGAACAGACACCATGACCAAGGCAACTCTTATGAAGACAACATTTAATTGGGGCTGGCTTACAGGTTCAGAGGTTCAGTCCATTATCATCAAGGCAGGAGCATGGCAGCATCCAGGCAGGCATGGTGCAGCCAGAGCTGAGAGTTCTACATCTTCATCTGAAGGCTGCTAGGAGAAGACTGGCTTCCAGGCAGCTAGGACGAGGGACTTAAAGCTCGGGCCCACAGTGACACACTTCCAACAAGGCCTCACCTACTACAAGGCCATACGTCCTATCAGTGCCACTCCCTGAGTCAAGCATATTCAAATCATCACGGTACACTTACATGCATTCATGCAAAATACTCATACACATAAGAATAAATCTTTAAAAATGGAATGGAGACTGGGAGCATATATGCTTCCCTAACAACACAGAGACCAGGTGCCATTCCCAGTACCACTTAAGGCAGTGTGGTAGCTCCTAACTGTAATCCCAACACTCTGCAGGTCATCTTCATTTAAGATCATTTTCTGCTGTATACAGTAAGTTTTAGCTCAGCTTGGGCTACAAGGAGAGTATATCTAAAAACAAGATGGGCATTATTTGTGTGAGCTATAAAATCTTGAGATAGATAAATAATAAATATAGCATTCTAATGTAACTCTATAATTCTATAAATAAGAATATCCAAGATTCTGTTTTTGTTTTTTCAAGACAGGGTATAGTCCTGGCTGTCCTGGGAATTGTTCTATAGACCAGGATGACCTCAAACTCACAGAGATCCGCCTGCCTCTGCCTCCAAAGTGCTAGAATTAAAGACATGTGCTACCATGCCCAGCACCAAAATTATTTTTTAAAACTTGAACTTATTTTATATGACATTTATACAGAAATTAGTTGTAACAGACTAGCTTTAAGTAGTTGGATTTTTTTTCCTCCTCCTCCTCGTCATTGTTGTGATTTTCTGTTTAGATACCTTTTCCCTTATTGTAGAAGAGTTACAGGTGAAAAGAGCGTCACTGTAGGACGATAAGGACTAGGAGTGTGATCTGGTGGTAGGTTTGAGTGTCTGCTGTGCACGAGGCCTTAGGTTCAGTCCTCAACACCACAAAGGAGAGAAGGGAGGCAGGGAATGAAGTTCATGATTGTCCTTTATAATAGGACATAAATGAGATATAAATGAGGCTATGCTACATCAAAAACATAACCCCTTGAGGTAAGAGACAACCAAACTCTCTTCATGGTTCTTTACCATGTCCATAGTCATATACTTCATAGTGAACTTATGTAGAATGATAGAATGAAATCATTGACTAAATGATATATTTGAAAAGATATTTACCCTGAACTGTGACCGTTTTGAGTCCATGGTGTATTAAAAGTAAGTATATATTTAGAAATTAGAGATAACTAATGAAAACCAATTATGTTTTTCCATGGGGCTAGCATTTAGAAGAAACTTTAGCTTTTTTAATATATGTGTTGGATAGTTTTATGTCAGCTTGACACAAAATTAAGTCATCTGAGAGGAGGGAAGCTCCAGAGAATACTTTCATAAGATGGGCTGCAGACAAGCCTGTAGGGCATGTTGCTAATCAGTGATGGATGGGGGAGGGCCCAGCCCATTGTGGGTGGTACCATCCCTGGGTAGGTGGTCCTGAGTTCTGTAAGAAAGCAAGCTGAACAAGCCATGAGCAGCAAGCCAAGATGCAGCACCTTCCATGGCCTCTGCATCAGCTCCTGCCTCCAGGTTCCTGGCCTGAGTTCCTGTCCTGTTCTTTTAGATGTTCCGTTAGATGACATACAGTGATATGGAAGCGTAAGCTGAATAAACCCTTTCCTCTCTAACTTGCTTTTTGATTGTGATGTTTTCATCACATCAAGAGAAACTAAGACAGTATAGCAGTTCACTCATCTTTGTGTGTAATGAAAACCGTATTAATACAACTTGTTAAACTTTCTTCTTTTAAAGAGTTTGGATTCTGACAAGCCCAAAGAACCAGTAAAAAGATCTCCTCTTCGCCAGGAAACAAATATGGCCAACTTTTCTTACCGTTTCTCCATATACAACTTGAATGGTAAGATTTGATTAAGTAAAGTTCTATAATATAGGAATAATAGAAATGAATTCTAAATGTCAAATGGTATAAAAATTATATACGTAACTTGACTGAGTTTTGGTTTTCTTTTTGAAAATTCGGTGTGTGCGTGTGCGTGTGTGTAGGTATACACACGAGTGCCGGGCCCAGCAGAGGCCAGAAGTGCCAGATAATCTTGAAGTTAGACTTACAGGTGGTTGTGAACCATCTAACATGGGTGCTAGGAATGGAACTCAGGTTCTCTGAGAGAACAGTAGATGCTTTTAGCTCCTGAGCCATCTCTTCATTCTGAGTTAACTTATGAATATTCAGATTAATCACAGAAAAAGAAACTAGAACATAACATGAGTTTCTTGTCATATATTTAATATTTGATATTGTGCATGCTAAGGAGAAAGCTCACAGCAATCTCATTGTATTGTTTTCTGACTGGATTAAAGGCTAAAGAAAATTTTTCTTAATAATTTAAAAATCAGCCTGTGTGACCTGTTTTTAATGTACCTAGTCACTTCTTAGTGTTTGCAATAAATGTTCTAATTTTTTTAGACTTTCTCCTTTATGCCCTTCTCTCTCTTGGTAATAACTATATCTACCTGGATATTGACCATATTAATAGTTGCCCTAGGGGTTCTACTGTGTGATGGAAACACCATAACCAAAATTGGGAAGCAAAGATTTATTTGGCTTATACTTCTTTCATTGAAGGAAGTCAGGACAGGATCTTAGCAAGAACCTGGAGGCAGGAGCTGAAACAGGCATGGAGGAGTGCTGCTTACTGGCTTGCTTCCCCTGGCTTGCTCAGCCTGTTTTCTTATGAAAGCTAGGACCACTAACCCCGGGATGGTACCATCTACAGTGGGCTGGACTTCACTAATTAAGAAAATGCCTTACAGCCAGTCTTACAAAGGCATTTTGTTTTCTCAGTCAGGGTTTCCTCCTCTTGGATGACTCTCATTTGCATCAAGCCAGCATAGTAGTACAAAGTTACTTGAGAGATTGGGATAAAACCATGGAATAGTACAAAGTGTTTTCAGTATTTTGTCTTTAAACTTACAACTTTATTTACAACTATACAGTCTTACCAGATATCTGAAAGGATAGGCTATTTGCTTCTAAAAATTCTCTCAGGACTTAAAACAAAACCTGTTAAGTACTTTATTTGATTGATTTTAGGTCCAATGAAATGTATTGTTTTGCTTTTTTCCCCACTGCCTGTGGCTAATTTATAAATAGAATATATAGATTTTGATTATGTTCTGAAACTTTTGTCTTCTCTGTAGAAGCTCTGAATCAGGGTGAAACTGTGGATCTGGATGCCCTGATGGCTGATCTCTGCTCTATAGAGCAGGAACTGAGCAGCATTGGCTCAGGAAATAGTAAGCGTCAAGTCACAGAACCAAAAGTTACTCAGAAGCAACCTGCTAGCCGACATACGACCAAACATGGCACCCTGAGAGGATTATCATCTTCCTCTAATAGAACAACTAAGCCTTCCCATGCTAACTACTCCCTGGATGACATCACTGCACAGTTAGAGCAGGCTTCCTTGAGCATGGATGAGGCTGCTCAGCAGTCGGTAGTAGAAGATTCCAAGCCTTTAGTGACAAATCAGCACAGAAGGACCGCCTCAGCAGGCACTGTGAGCGATGCTGAAGCACGCTCTGTCAGTAACTCCTCCCGTTCAAGCGTCACTTCTGCAGCCTCCAGCATGGATTCTTTGGATATTGACAAAGTGACACGCCCTCAAGAACTTGATTTGACAACACACCAGGGACAGCAAATTACTGAGGTAAATAGAGAAAATTTTTATGTTATTTTGGCCTTAAAATACAGAGAAATTGCTGTGTTTTGTTTCAGTATAGTTTAATTGACTTTCTTACATCTTTAACATTTAAAATTTATCAAAAGTACTTCTAAGCTAAATAGTCCACAGAAGGAGTGTACCACCAGACATAGCAGTATCAAAAAGAAAATGAGTGTTCAGAAAAGTCACCAGATACTACTGTTTATTTTAAACTCACACCCAAAATTCGTAAGTGAATACAGAACAGGAAGAGTGCCATGAAGAACATTATGAGACCAATGCCTAATGTATATGGTATAGCTTTTGTAAATGAGTAAGAGCATGCCTCAGAGGGGCCTTAGACTTAACATTAATTACTGTAAGATATTACTGCTTCCTGTGCACCGTGATGTTTTCAGAAGCCTTGGTTATTTCTGTTCTTACCAATGTGGGCACTTTTCCATACAACTACCTATCATTTAATGAGCCCCAGAAAGGTCCCACGTGAACAGCATGGACTCTGAAGATGATATGCCTGAGGTTGCAGAACTGAGTGGACCTCATCTCAAGCAGTGGACTGGCCTGTTGGGGGTCTATGAATGAATGTTAGCCTGAACATAAGTACACTGCTGATGGGCAGATGAAGAACGAGCTCTAGGGAGTGACTGCTTTCCCAAGTGACTTGTTTCTATCTGTGTAGTCCCACTTGTTACTACGCTGCTTCTGAGCACATGACACAAAGCCAGGTGCTGTTCTGCTCTTCAAGCTAGGGCAGCAGTCAGCTGTCATTCATCCTTTCAGGTTGCTTAATACACATACACTTTGTATCTTCCAGAAACTGTCCACGTTTGCTTGTAAGTTTGACATCTTTTTAAACTCTTTATTTTTGTTTTAGTGGGATTTGGAAAGAAAATAGAAATACCTTGTTAGTATCACTGTAACCTCTTGACCTGCCTAGAGATATGGCTAGTATATCTGTGAGACTTAAATGGAGAAAACTGATTTTTCCTTTGCTAGAGGGAATCAATTGCAGATAGCTTCTTTAGGGATGGGACCCCATGTGCACTTCCCCCTCTTAGTGCTGGGACCCCATCTAGCTTAAACTCTTGCAGGCCTTGTTTGTGCTGTCTCTGTGAGTCCAGATGTACATTCCTCCTGTTATATCTGGAACATTAATCTTAATGCTCCTTCTTAATTAATCTCCTTCTCTGTGTATTTTTTTCTGTAAGCTATTTGAGAGTTGGCTGCATTTGTCATGACCTTTTTCTGTTTGTCATGGCTATTCCCATTTCTAGTTTGTGAGAACAACCTTGACCATATAGAATTTATAGACTTCTTTGATCTAGTAACTGAAATAGTGCTACAGAACATGTTTAATGGATAGTACATAGAAAAGTGAAGAGAGTCTTAATCTAACAAAGCATATGGCATGAAGACACAGCAGAAGTAGTTATGCATTCCATAAGTAGCTACTTAATATCGTACAGATACTCAGAGCCTAGGCACTGCACTGGATTGCAAAGAATAAACTGTCGTCAACAGGGACTGGAGAGATAGCTCAGTGAATTAAGTGCTTGCTATGAAAACATGGGAACCTGAGTTCAGATCCATAACATCCATGTAAAAACTAGGCATGATGATATAGGTCTGTACCCCAGTCCTGAACGACAGTGATTTGTGGGTCCTGGAGTTTGGTAGCCAGACACCATTGCCAAATGAATGAGCTCCAAGTTTAGTTCCTGTCTCAGCAAATATGGTGGAGCATTATTGAGGACGATATCAGACATCAGCCTGTGACTACATAGGCATACACAAACACATCACACATGCAAGGTCATTAATCACTTTGAAGGTTAAATACAGAATGCTTTACCACTCAAAGGTTGAAATCTTTGAGGGGAAAGAGTTGCAGAGAAGTGAGGAATTAATGGGAGGCTAGGAAGTGGCCCAACTGCCACATATGGATTCAGGAAATATGGCAGTACAGAGAAGCAAGAGGCAAGAGGCAGGCTAGCCAGAACAGTTGAACTTTTTTTTTTGCCCTGTCCATACCCTAGCGGGTTGGCCCATTTCAATGTCAGGCATAGTGAAGGAGGAATGAGACATGCTTAGCTTCTTATAAAACATGAACAGGTGGATCGGGAAATGTGAATTTAGTACAGAATACACTTTGCTGATTGAGACATGACTTTCTCTGTAAGGGAAGAAGAAAAAGAGAAAGGCAAAAGCCTGAGGTGCTGGGAATGTAGCACTGGTTTTGAGGGATAATGAACATAGTGGTAGGAGACTAGAGTATGGCCAGTGGTCCAGGGCAAGTAAAGGCTCGTTAGCATAAACTGCTTCTGGACAACACTGCTGCAAAGGTTTTCTAACAGCTGGATTGTCTAGAAGTGAAATAAGGCTATTCTTAAATTGTTAAAGATTAGGCGGATCATCTGGTTCTTAATTTTCTTTCTAATTCTTGTGTAAAAGAATAAACGGTAAAAAATATTTCTATTTTTTTCATTGCTGCTTGTCACTTCAGTGATCCGTTTCTCTTTGTGCGTGATTAGGAGAGCTGCTCTTTTCACCTCCATTACCTATCATTGTTTTCCTTCCTCCATTTTCACAGCATGCTATCTCTCTGAGCTGTCCCAGTAAGCAGGCCAAGCACCACTCTGACTTCACAGAAGAGCAGGCTGAGCTGACACCTGTAAGTTCTGTAAGCATGTCATGGGGCTATTTAAGTAGACGAAGAAAAATAGATTCATTAGAATTCCAAATGATGACGTCTGATCATATAATTAGGTCAACTTTTCTTTTGTTTAAAAAATTTAGTTCTTTAAAAAGACTTGTAAATTTAAAAACAAAAAAATCTACATCAAGATTAACCAGACCCAAAGTCTCCACAGTTCAGTGAATTTCCATACAGCTAGAGTAGGCATTTGGGATGGAAGCTATGGAGCTATGGAGCTTCACATTAGATTTTACACTTTAATTATTGGATATATTTTACGTACTTGCCCACCATCAAAAAACAAAACAAAATAATCTATGACAGGCAGAAGTAGAAAAACAGCTTTTTTTGTCTCTCTTTTTTCTTCAGGTTATACTGTACCTAGTGTACATTTGTTTATATATGAATATTATTGGTTGGAATCTATATGAGAGTGAACATGCGATTATTTTTCTTTCTAAGCTTATATGACCATCCATTTTCCTGCAAGATATTTTATGATAGTAAATATACATATTGCTACCCCTCAATAGGAATAATAGGTGTTAAGACAGTCTATAGGAAAAATTCAAGGGAAATTATTATTAAGAACACAAAGGAAGATTTTAAAGCACTTACTATAGACACTGCATGATTTTCACAGTGACTGTATTAATTTACACTACTTCCACTAACTCTTGACGTCCCCTCCAACATGGTTGTCATATCTGTTAACAGATATTTTGATTAGAGTGAAGTGGTATCTCAAAGCTCATTCGTCCATCTACCTACCTACCTGTCTGTCTGTCTTTCTGTCTATCTATGTATCTATCTATCTATGTATGTATCTATCTATCTGGTTTTATCTGGTTTTTCAAGACAGGATTTCTCTGTGTAGCTCAGGAACTCACTCTGCACACCAGGCTGGCCTTGAACTCACACAGGATCTGCTTGGCTCTGCCTCCTAAGTGTTGGAATTAAAGGCCTGCACTACCACCACTTAGGTTCACAGTAGTTTTTATTTGCATTTCCCTGAATGCTAGAGATATTAAACACTTTTTAAAGATAATTATTGACCACTTGTATTTCTTTTTTGAAGACTGTCTTTTCAGTTAATTTACCCATTTGTTGATTGGCAGGGTTTTTTCCTCCCATGGTGCTCAATTTCTGTAATTCTTTGTAAGTTCTGTCTACAGCCCCTTGTGTGAACTGTAGCTGAAGATTCCCCCCCATTGTGTGTGTTATCTGTTAACTCTGCTGACTGTCCTTTGATGTAGAGAAACATTTTATTTTCATGTATTTCCATCTGTTGATACTTAGAGTTAGTTTCTGTGCTGTTGGTGTTCTTTCAAAAAGTTCTTGCCTACCCCATATCACCTCTGGTTTCTTCTAAAAGTTTCAGTGATTCAGGCTTTAAATTAAGGTCTCTGATCCATGTTGGATGATGTTTTGTTTACAATGTGAAAAATACAAACAAATATTCTGCAGGTAGAAATCCAATTTTTCTAGCACTGTTTGTTAAATTTTTCAAATAAAAGTTAAACCAGATTTTAAAGAAAATGAGCAGAACCAGATAGCCACCTTGTAATACAATGCTGTTGAATGTTAACACTCAAGGTAGACTACCTATTATAAGGGATTTTTCTTATTGACACCACTTTAAAATTCTGAATCTAAGGGCCTTCATCAGCTTCTGTAAACACTGACAGATTTAGCTGTTCTTCAGGGTGGGACTGTAAGGTGTACTTTTTCTTCTGTACTGGTACTTAACTAAATACTTAGTTTCAAAACTGTATTCTTTGGCTAGTATTCATTCTTTTTACCAAGCAGTAGCTTGTAATCCATTTCATCCTCTTTTAAAAATAACAAATACTTTATAACACTATCTTTACTACTTCCAACAAAATTCATAGTTAACAAAAAATCTCCTACCTCCCTACAATATAAAAGAATATAATGCCCTAACATCTAGGATAAAGAAAAACAAACCTAAGTAATTTATAATAAAAAATACGTAATGCATAAATATTTTGCCAGTGCTATTAAAGAATGCTAGATAGTAATGAAAATCCATGTGTTCTTAATCTAGAGTTCTCATCGAAGTGATCAGTAGTTTGATTGTTTAAAAAACACCAAAAAAAGGAGAAAAAAAAAAAGAGTAGACTATGAGTGCCCTGTGATGGTACCAGACACGACATGTCTGTGTGTGGTGGGAGAAGACGGGAGGGGCCCTGAACTGGAGTAGTGATGGTGGTGTGCTAAGACAGGCTCAGCGGAGACTATGGAAGACTTGGAGTTCTTCCTGCCTTAG